TTTGTTAGGGATTGAAATTTGAAAATTGTTGTTCATATTAACCCTAAATCAATTAAATTGATCAAAATCTCTTATTTCTTGTTTATGTATACGAAATGGATGCTCTTGTTAAGTTGTGTAATGTGTATTCACCCTAAAACAAGAAAATAAGGTGGGAATGATCACTGTACCACTATTCTTGATTATTGTACCTCTGTTTGCATGTATATAGCACCACTTCAATACTTTTTTGTACCATATTTTCCTGGGAAATGTGATTTTTTTTTTGTTTATCCAAATATTGTTAGATACATGAAAGGGACACAAAGTGATATACTAGGGAGTTGTACGTACAAGAACGAATTGTTTGTGTTCTCTATGCACATTGGATCAACGGTTGACGAAGTGTACACTTTCATATCAAAGAGGTGACCGAACGTTAATTTCGAATCCGTCGTGCTATGCTATATTGCGCCAAAGGAAAAAAAAAAAGAGCGTTAGTTTGTTGGATGATGAGGATGTGGAGAACATGTTCGGTTACATGTTTGTTGGAAAATAAATATTGTGAGATAATTGTCATTTAAAGAAATGAAAGATCCGATGATGGATTTCAATCGATCCCGATGAACATGAGCAGGTAATGTTGCTTTCATAATATTAATGAATTTATTATTGAAATATGGTATACTCGTATCATATCTTAGTTCATTAATTTTTTAACTAGTTTCATTATTTATAAATTTTTGTATTATTTTGTCATAAACGCATGGAAAACGTACAGTTTAATGATTTCTCGGAGGAAGAAGATGAGTTGTTGCAAGATAAATCGATCGATTCTTAGAGATCTTGCATCAAAGGAGAGGGGCAGATATTCAGTGGGACCGACGAATTTTGAAAGAGTGTCAACAACTACGCGATTGCAAACAAGCAGTTTTAAGTATCGAAAAAATGACAAGCAGAAGGTCATCGTTTGTTGTAGGAATGTGGATTGTGAATGGAGTGCATCGTTATACAAAGGGGATCAGCAGTTTGCCATCCGAAAATGCAATCTCGTCCATACTTGTGTACTCATTTTCATTCCAAAGAGTGGGTAGTAAATGACACTTTATGAGTAATATTTTTTTGTACAATATACTGGCATTTTATACTGCAATATAGATAATAGTTTTGTGAAGTTTTAATCGGTGTATTACATTTTCATTCCAGAAAGCTGGTACTAATTGATCAATAACAGGTACTTCATAAAAGAAAAAGCGGTATTATATCCATCAAAACTGGTACCAGTCAATGAGTTGAAGTGTATTAAGTAGTGTTTTTCCATTAGTGTGTTGAGTTCGTGACGAATTTGCGATTAAACTTAATTAACCAAATATCAGATATCATAGAAATTAATGTCAGAGTGATTATGGGTCGTATAAACATCATTTGCGACCAAAATTCGGTCATTTTATGTGTTAATTACAAGTGGTACTAGGGACATGATTTTTGGTACTATCACGCCATAAAGTGATACTGCATTACACTATGACTGGTACTACTTTTTGTAAATGTTGAGCAGAATTGGAATAATCAACTTTTCTTCACAAAAGTTGGTACTAATCGATCAATAACAGGTGCTACGTAGAAGAAAATGAGGTATTATTTTCGTAGAAAATGGTACCATTCAATGAGTTGAAGTGTATTAAGGTGTTTTTCCATTAGTGTGTTGAGTTCGTGACCAATTTGCGATTAAACTTAATTAACCAAATATCAAATCTCATTAAAACTAATGTCAGAGTGATTATGGGTCGTATAAACAATATTTGCGACCGAAATTATGTCTTCTTATGTGTTCATTACAAGTGGTACTAGGGATAGAATATCTGGTACTAGATCGCCATAATGTGGTACTCCCTTACACTATGACTGGTACTACGTTTTGTAAATGTTGAGCAGAATTGAAATAATCAATTTTTCTTCACAAAAGTTAGTACGATCAAAATCAGGTACCACGCAGAATAAGATGCGGTACTATGTTCCCCAAAACCGGTACTATTATCAAAATCGCGATTTCTCTAATCCTTCATGTCTACCATGACACGTGGATCGCTCACACGTGATTTGATGAAAAAAAGTTGAATTGGAAACATATAGTTAGAATTTAGATTAGTCATGTATGATGATTTCTATGAGATGAAGTGTGTCATTCAATTAAATGAGGCCTAGTAGAAGTGTTTTCTCATTAGTGTATCGAGTTCATGACCAATTTGCGATTAAACTCAATCAAAAACATTTAAAATCTTATATAAACTAATGTCAGAGTGATCATGGGTCGTATAAACATCATTTGCGATCTAAATTCAGTTTTCTTATGTGTTCATTATAAGTGGTACTAGGGACAGGATATCTGGTACTAACTCTCCATAATGTGGTACTGACTTAAACTATGACTGGTACTACTTTTTGTAAATGTTGAGCAGAATTGAAATAATCAATTTTTCTTCAAAAAAGTAGGTGTTATTCGATCGAAATCAGGTACCACGCAGAATAAGATGCAGTAGTATGTTTCCAAAAACTGGTACTATTATCAAAATCACGATTTCTCTAATCCTTCATGTCTACCATGACACGTGGATCACTCACACATGATTTGGATGAACAAAAGTGGAATTGAAAACATATAGGTAGAATTTGAAGTAGTCACGTATGATGATTTCTATGCGATGAAGTGTGTCATTCAATGAAATGAAGTCTAGTAGTAGTGTTTTCTTATTAGTGTATCGAGTTCATGACCAATTTGGGATTAAACTCAATCAAAAGCATTTAAAATCTTATATAAACTAATGTCAGAGTGATCATGGGTCGTATAAATATAATTTGCAACCGAATTTCGGTCTTCTTATGTGTTCATTACAAGTGGTACTAGGGACAGGATATATGGTACTAACTCTCCATAATGTGGTACTGACTTACACTATGACTGGTACTACTTTTTGTAAATGTCAAGCAGAATTGAAATAATCAATTTTTCTTCAAAAAAGTAGGTGCTATTCGATCGAAATCAGGTACCACGCAGAATAAGATGCGGTACTATATTTCCAAAAACTGGTACTATTATCAAAATCACGATTTCTCTCCTTCATGTCTACCATGACACGTGGATCGTTCCCACGTGATTTGGATGAAAAAAAGTGAAATTGAAAACATATAGGTAGAATTTGAAGTAGTCATGTATGATGATTTATATAAGATGAAGTGTGTCATTCAATGAAATGAAGTCTAGTAGTAGTGTTTTCTCATTAGTGTATCGAGTTCATGACCAATTTGCGATTAAACTCAATCAAAAGCATTTAAAATCTTATATAAACTAATGTCAGAGTGATCATGGGTCGTATAAACATCATTTGCGACCGAAATTCGGTCTTCTTATGTGTTCATTACAAGTGGTACTAGGGACAGGATATCTGGTACTTACTCTCCATAATGTGGTACTGACTTACACTATGACTGGTACTACTTTCTGTAAATGTTGAGCAGAATTAAAATAATCAACTTTTCTTCAAAAAGTAGGTACTATTTGATCGACATCAGGTACCACGCAGAATAAGATGCGGTACTATGTTGCTCAAAACCGGTACTAATATCAGAATCGCGATTTCTCTATTCCTTGATGTCTGCCATGACACGTGCATCTTTCACGCGTGATTTAAAACATATAGGTAGAATTTGAAGTAGTCATGTATGATGATTCTATGAGATGAAGTGTGTCATTCAATGAAATGAAGTGTATTTGTAGTGATTTCTCATTAGTGCATTGAGTTTATGACCAATTTGCGAATAAACTTAATTAAACACGTTATAAATCTCATAGAAAATAATGTGAGAGTGATTATTGGTCATATAAACATCATTTGAGACCGAACTTTGGTGTTTTAATATGTTCGTCGGAGCTGGTACTAAAGACCCGATATCTGGTACTAAAACACCGAAAGCTGGTACTATCTTACTCTAGGTCTGGTAGCAATTATTGCAAATATTGACCATAATTGAATAAATCCATTTTTGCTGACCAAAAGTTGGTACTGATTTATCAATAACTGGTATTGCAAAGAAGAAAACGTGGTATTATTTGCGTCAAAATAGGTACTATTTTACAAAAATCAGTTTTTTTTTTTACGTTCGTCGGAGTTGGTACTGAAGACCCGATATCAGGTATTAGAACACCATAATTGCGGTATTATCTTACTCTAGGTCTTGTACTAATATTGAAAATGTTGACCAAATTGGAAGTAATCCATTTTTTGTTCTTTCTACAAAGTGAGTACTAATTCATCAATAGCTGGTACTACATAGAAGAAGGAGTGGTATTATTTGTTGAAAAACTTATACCATTTTACGAGATTCGTTTTTTTTTTTATGTTCGTCGGAGTTGGTTGAAAAATATGAATTAATACAGGTAGAATTATTAATTAATATACTAAACGGATCGTTCACGCGTGATTTGGTTGAAAAATAGTGGAATTTAAAACATATAGGTAGAATTTGAATTAATTAATTTTTTGTTCTTTCTACAAAGTAGATATTAATTGATCAATAACTGGTACTGAATAGAATAAAAGGTGATATTAATTGTTGTAAAACTGGTACTGTTTTACAAAATCTTTTTGTTTTTTTATGTGCGCCGAAGTTGGTATTGTATACCCGATGTATGGTACTATAACACCATAATATCGGTACTATCTTACTCTAAGTCTGCTACTAATTTTGCAAAATGTTGACCAAAATTGAAGTAATCCATTTTTGTACTTTCTGCAAAGCAAGTATTTATTCATCAAAAACTGGTACTGCATAGAAGAAGATGTGATACTATTATTGGTAAAACTGGTACTATTAAACATGTATCATTAAGAACTTGCACATCTTTTTTCCTTTCTACAAAGTAGGTACTCAACACTGAAAAAATGAGTAATAATATAAAAATATATAAAAGGGCTACTCTAACTTTTGTGCAGCATTCTGCCTCAACGTAATATCAAGAACTCTCACAGTCTCTTAAAATGTTTGGTCTCATGGCCACTAAGAGCATTTGCTATTGCAGACATTGGGATTTTGGCATCAAAGTTAATGGCCACTTTGTATGTTTTGCTATGAGGCCGCCTTCTTGATCTCTTACGATCACTTTCACTTGGGCTACCATCAGCTTCCGGACTACGATTCCCAGTACCCCTACAGTCAAGTGTTTCGAAATATAAAGCAGAGACACAAAAAATTAACCAAAAGAAACTACTTAAAAGTAGAAATTACTATTTAGCTGCTCGATGACACTTCGGACATGACCACAGTAAATTCGAGCTTGTTGTGAGGCAGAGGACCCACACTGAACAAGCTTTTCTCACCATCGTATGCGAATCTTTTGCCAGCAAGCTCGGTTTTGTAGGTCTCGTAGACCTGGCCGAGGATCTTTCGCCCGACTCCTTTTGCATCAACAGGGGTATCATCTTCGTATTAGATTGTGACCTACACCAGAAAGAATTAAAAGAACAAAAAAAGAAAAAGAAAAAAAAAGACACATAACCATCAATTTAAACACTATTGGATTTACATACGTTGTTAATGATTCAAGACTCTATTTCAACAAACATCCAAATAATAGTGAGAAGACTATACACACACTGTAATGGTAAAAGGAACCATCGGTTTTTGATACGGAGACTTTAAAATGGTTTGTCAAGAGTGATATGTTTTGTCCTCTCGAACCCAATCCCCGCTTGGCCATAGGAAGACATTTACTATTTCTGCCGAATTTTTCCGGCACACCTTTTGGAGGTATTGGCGGTGGTGGTGGTAGTGTTTCCGGTTTTCGATTGTCCATTTTTTCTTGAAACACAATGAAGATAACATTAGAAACTCTTATGCATAAACACATACTCAAATGGAAGGCAAAATTAACACACAAATTTCCAGTAGGGATATCAAATCACTTTTTTACTAGCAATAGTTCATCAACATATATCCTCAGGCATAAATCTTGAAGTTGATTACTGTACAAGCATACAAAAACACAAAACCACATTGCTACATAAATTATAATTATCAATCCAATAGGCAGTATGCTAGTTGCAGTATTAACAAGCCCACTTCAATTTGAAAAAAAAAAAGAGAGAATGAAGTTGAATTTGCTCATGATACAGAGGCAATATTCTCCAAACAAACAATTGCCCACTCAAATTCAAATAAAATAACAACAACAACAACAACAACAACAACAACAACAACAACAACAACAACAATTGATTAAGAAAAAACATACCAAAATCAATAAAACTCAAATAAATCAATAAAACCCTAGACATGTAAATAGCCCCAATTTATCAATAAAATTCGTAATTGGTGAAATAAAACTCAAATTCGAAGTGCATTAGCATCAACCAAATACCAAATTTTGAAAAATCTCGACTTCAATAAAAAAATCAAAATTTTGAAAAAAATTCCCAAATTCTGAATTGAAGAAAAAAAATCAAAATTGTTGAAAAAAATCCCCAAAATCTTACCTTGCTTATTGTGGAAGACAGTTTGTCGGATGTGGAACGACGAGGAGGACGGTTTTTCAAGCCCGCCATTGTTTTGGCGAGGAGGATGTGGAGCTGAACGAAGAGGAGGGCAACTTCCCGGAGATATGGCCGGCGACGGGAGAGGGACTGAACGAAGAGACGAATGGAATTTTCAGAGGGAGAGATGATCAGTAGAATTTGCAGAGACGCTGTGGATTTTGGAGAGAGAGATACGCAGAGAGAAGACGACGAAGAGAGAGAGAGAGAGAGAGGAGTTAAAGAAATGAAATTGAATTTTCAATAAAATGAAGTAAAATAAATGAATAATAATAATATAGGTATATATATGGGGAGTTGAGAGGAAAGAGACATTTGTATTAGGAAGTGGAGAGGAAAAATAAAAGTAGTGGGGACTGACAAGGAAAGAGAATTGGGGATTGGTGATTTATAAGGAATTTACAGTATCTTTAATCCCATCATTCTTCGATTAATCTCACCCAAATTTCAGAAAACCCTTTAACCCTAAATATCGCGGCCATCAATCGTCTTCATCCTTCTCCTCAGACGCGCGGCTCTTCTTAGCAAGAAGCAAATCTTGTTCCTCATCTTCCTCCATCTGTGAGTAAGTAGCAGCCGTTGCCGTGAGTTTCCGAATAGCAGCCGCGTGACTTCTTTCGGCTAGCATTACTTCCGTCTGCGACCGCCGACAATGCCATAGACATACGAGTAGAGCCACGCCGCTAGCAGCATCTTCCGTCCTTTTCACGTTCAACGTCGGGAGTTCTTCAGCGAGAATTTTGGCCGTTCGAGTTCACCGAGCATTAGCCGCTTCCGTAATTCTTTTCAGCCGTCCAAATGAGTGATAGCAGAGGCCTCTCTCGACCGCCTCACACCCTGCCGTCGTTTTCTTTTCAGCGAACTTCAGCCGTTCGTCGGGCCCGTGCATCGAGCAGACCCAACCTTTTTCCCGAAGAGCAGCGGCTGTTTTCCATCACTAAGAGCCGCGAGCAACACCTTTGTTGTCGTACAGCGGCACATCAAGAGCGGTAGTTCGTTCGCCATTGTCCGAGCAAGCCGTTCGCCGTCGACTTCGAACAACCACCATTTCAGCCCGATGTGCAAGGGGAAGCCGGAACAACGACGGCAACCTTTCGGGCCCGTGCGAACAACCACTATTATGTTTGGTGATCAACATTTTATTTGTATTTTGTTATTGATCATTGTGGGCAATTTTAAATGATTTACAATTTCAATTTATTGAATTTATTTATTTATTTATTTTTCCGATCAATCGTTACGTGGGATAATAAATGTTATGTTAGTTTTTTGGGGTACAAAAAAACGGAATTATTTAAATAAATATTTCATATTCTAATGATTAAAAATAACAAATATATTAACAATAATCTTATATTAATTATTCCCGAGATTAACATCTTATAATTTAGTAGATTACAAATCATCATCAATTTTTCTTAAATTAGTGTCCATTAGTAAATCAAATTCGTGTTACTTAGGTTTCAATTTTAATTTTATATTTCCATTAGTAAATCACTTTATTTCCATTAGTAAATCCCTTTATTTCGATTAATTATAATTAATACTAATCGCTTTATTTAATATAAATTAAATAATGATATATCAATTACTCTCATTATTAAATTTTGATAATTTACTTAAATAAAAACTTAAAAGATATTGTACAATAATTACGATATTAACATATATATATAACATGATAGAAAAATTGGCAGATTCCGCTTAATTAAATATTTACAAGATATTTATGGGCGCGTAACAAAAAGAAAATCAAAGTATATAATGATAAGAGATTTGTTTCCTGTATACTTCTCAATCCTATGATATATCTGTTCCCTTATTTACGTATATCCCTTATCATAAAATACATATTATATTATTATTTAAATTATTATTTTCATTGTAGTTCGAAATTAAGTATGATTCGTATTATCACTATAAATATAAATCACCCAATTGAAACCAAAAAAAATATCCCGCCGGTTAACCCTCTCATCTTAAGAAAAAAATCGTCTCCACGTTTATCCCTAAACCAAAAAA